AATGCGATAGAATATCACTAAAAGAGAGCAAGCGCTCATCATTCTGTGGAGGGGGCTCCATTCCTCCTGCCCGGAATGTGAGACCTCGGCCGAGAGAATGAGCCCCCTCGTTGCCAAGAAAGCCGGCATGTGCTGGCGTCCAGATGAGGGTTGTGGAACGCCGAGGCTGCCAGAAGCGCAGCAAGGGGCAGCAGTACGGGATATCAAGCCATTGGCGTAGTTCTAAATAGCTGATTTCGAGTCGCTTATGATTGTGGTGGTGGGTGCTGAGATGAGAGCAAGCGCGATTGCTGCCTCTTCTGCCTCTGTGGAGGAATTAGTGACAACTGAGCGCGAAGTTGAATTTGCCTGATTGTCAGCCACCGCAAGGGTCCTACAGGATCCTGACGCATATTCTGCTGCGTCCACGTAGACCACATCCTGGTCCTCGTCATATTGTCGCCGAAGGTCCCGAGCCCTTGTCTTTCTGCGTTTCTCGCACAGGATGCATGTTCTTCTGGATGGAGGGTACGTTGAGTTGAGAGCAAAGGTTAGAAGAAAGAGGGACCCCTTCGGGTGAGTGTGTAATTGCGGCTAAGTTTAATTGAGACAAAAAAACACGGCAAGCCACTGACTTAGACAGACGACATCTTTGTGCCGTAAAGGTGGCTTCAGCGAGTTCCTCAAATGTATTATGCACACCAAGTTTGAAGAGTCTGTCATTGAATGTGCTTGGGGAAAGGCGCAGAGCTTTTCTTTTGCAACTCCGTAGAAGCGCGTTAACCCAGTCTCTCTCCTTCTGTCGGAGAGGCAGGTAAGGAAGGGCATACGTGGAGTGGCTTACGATGTAAGTCTGGGTGAGGCGAAGCGTGTTTTGCTCACGTAGGCCAGCCCGACGATTCGCTATGCGACGAATCAGTCGAGTGGTCTGCTGAGCATGCGTTTGGAGAGTCCTGATGACTTCTCTATGTGCGCCATGTGAGTAGAGAACTAGCCTTAGCACCCGAATTTTCGCGACAAGAGGGATGGGGTAGGCACCTAGCGTGAGAGAGATCGGGGGAATGGCTGAAGTAAGTTGCTCCGTTTTGGAAAGCGAGCAGGTAAGGCTACGTTCTCGAACATTTGTGTCGATGGTGGTTAGTGCCAATTGTAAGTGTTCTTCTATTTCGGCGTCACTATCACGGTTTGCCCAGACGGGGATATAATCGGCGTAGAAGCTAGTGTGGATGTCGGAGATCTGACCCAGCTTTTAGGGCAGATGAAGAAGTGCCATGTTAAATAGGATATGTGAGAGAACTGCGCCCTGGGGCTCACCACGTGTGCCAAGCGTGATGCCTGGCAGACTGTGATCGCCAAAGGTAAGTGTTGCTTTGTGGTGGCTGAGGAAGTCTCGGACGTAGTTGTACGTCTTTCCACCAACTCCCAAAGTTATAAGGTCCTCTAGAATAGCTGAGTGCGCAACGTTGTCGAATGCCTTCGATATATCTACTCCTAAGATGGCTCTGTTATCACACGTTTGAGAGTCGGGAATGTGGTGTTTCAGTTGCAGGAAAACGTCCTGCGTGGAAAGCCCAGGTCGAAATCCAAATATGCAAGTAGGCAAGAGATTATTGCCTTCGAGGTACTGGCAGAGCCTGGTTTGGAGTACATGTTCCATGAGTTTGCCGACACAAGAGGTAAGGAATATGGGCCTGAGGTAAGACGTAAGGAGAGGTTTGCTAGGTATGGGAATAAAGACAACCTTGGCCTCTTTCCATTGTGGTGAGAGGATGCCCCTTACGAAGCAGTCAATAAAGTATTCAGTAAGGACGGCAATCGATTGCTCGTCAAGATTACGGAGTGCTTTGTTGTGAATACCGTCCGGACCGGTGGCTGAGGATCTCCTTAGTTTCTGTAGTTTGTCTTGAAATTCGGCTACTGTAATAGGTTGATCGAGGAGCTCATTAGGAGGACCTGCATAGTCGGGATGTGATGGGGTATGTAGGGAAGTACTGATTTTGAAGTTTCTGGCTACAGTAATAGGTTGATCGAGGGGCTCATTAGGAGGACCTGCATAGTCGGGATGCAATACGGCGGGGTATGTTGGGAAGTACTGATTTAGAAGTTCCTGGAGGAGTTCTGGTGGAGGTTTATCGCAAGTGTGTAGGTGTTTGGTGAGGTTGTGTCTTTGGTTAGTGTTTCACTGAGTTGGATCAATTAAGTGTCTGAAAAAATTCCAAGTCTGAGGCAAACTCTTAATACCATATAATTTGTTGCAAAGCGATTCTCAGTTGCGTCGTGAAAGAGTGACTTCATGGTGCTTTACCTCTTTGCTCAGGTGGGTGAGGCGACGTCTAAGAGTTCAGTTACAACGCTGAATTTGCAAGCGTAGTTCTAGGCTTGCTTTAGCATCCCATAAATGTAGAAGACGGGAGTCAACTGGGTCGACTGCACAGTCTTCTCGTACTAGACGAGTTGCAGATCGGACATTGCTCCGAAGTAGTTGTGACCATTCAGTGATGTCTGTGGTGGAAACGTGGAGGCGCGTTGCCCTATGAGTGCAGAAAAAAATCCAGTTGGTGAAAGTGGAACCTCTAGGAAACCGGCGGGGTAGTTGCATATTCAAAAGAAATTTGATAATGTAATGGTCACTACCCAAACTCTCTTGTGTGTTGCATCTTGTAGCTTGGGGGAGGCGATGTGCGATCATGAGGTCTAGTGTAGCGTCTTTGCAGACTCTATTCCCCATACGTGTCGGAAAGGCAGAATCGATGAGCAGGGAGAGACCGGCTTGCTGATCTGCTAATCACACCCGACGTCCTTTTGGTGTGTCACGTGGGTAACCCCAAGTTGTATGTGGGGCGTTAAAAAATATCTCATGACGAGTAGGGGGCCCTTATTGGCTATGCGCTTCGCGATCGTAAAGAGGCACTAAAAGTTGCCTTGCAAGCACTTAGGGCTGCTGTATACATTCAGAATGAAGAAGCTGTTAGCTCTAGCATGTTGCGGCACAAGCTTGATTAGGTAGTGATCAATGTCTTGAACTGCTAAACAGTGGGAGATGGTGGTAATGAAGTGATTAATTAGAAACGCCACAAGAGAAGGTTTAGGAGATTTGGGTGTAATAGAAGTATATCCTGGCAAGGTTAGTGGATTGGAAACGTTTTGCAGAGCAAGGATATTGGGTCCCGCAGCGCAAGATAGCAGTTTGTGGACAACATGACGCTTCTGGCCTAAACCATGGCAGTTCCACTGCCAGAGTGTCAGATTATGGTTTGGAGCTGCCATCATGAGAATCGAGAAGGGGCATAGCCACCACATAGGGTAGGGAGTCGTTAGTGACGTCAGGGAGCAGGTTGCCTTGCCCTTCAGCTGATTTGGGCTTCTTGCGTTTACTAGGGGTGAGATCTCGCTTTGGAAGGCGTGTTGCGAAGAAACTGAGCTGTATTTAAAGATTGTTGTAGTGGTCAGCCAATGAATGAGCTAAAACAACAAACGATGATTAAGCGCAGCATTGTCTGTTTTTGCATGGATTCCCGCATCTTTCAGCGTTGTGTATTCCTGATTGATGCCAGTGATACCGTCTTGCAATTTTGTCTCAAAACGAGCAGTCAAGGACTCAAGCAGAGTCGGTATATCGGTAGTGAGCTGTGTATGGAGGGACGCGGCGTTGTGTCCTGACTTGTGTGCCAAGGAAGTTGCGTGTCGATATCTAACTCCAGCGAATAAAAGGAGGATGCGGCGTTGACATGGGTAGGTGTGAAAGGTATGCTAGAGGCGGTGGGTGGGTTGTGCGCTGGAAGTTGGGATATAGTAGAAGTGTGGGTAGTTGGAATGGCATGGCTTGTAGCAAATGCTGAAGCCATTCGTGATGAAACTTTTACTTTTTTTCTAACGTGGGTGCAGACGTTACGTCGAAAAATGTACTCTCATTTACTCGCCTGTAGAGTAGACAGGCCCGAAACAACTACTAAAACTTACAGTGACTTCGGTACACTAATTAGTAAACCTTGGCTTGAAGCGAAAAATTGGGGAGAGGTTATAGAGACCTTGGCTTGATGAGAAAAATTGGGGAGAGGGCATATGATTCACTGATAACTTCAGATGAATCATATGCCTGAAATCCGTGGGATTCACCCAAATTTTTTTGTGCCTGCATTTTACTAAAAAATTTTTGCCTATCCCAAAGTGTAGGCGCAACCTTTAGCGTGTGAAACTAATCTGTTTCCATGGGTATCTATCCTTTCTCATTGCATGCACTTCTATTCACGAAGTCACAATATTCTTAAACAGAACCTACGTTATAAAGCTATATCTCAACCATCTTCTAATTTATTGCATACAATCTTCAGTAGACCAGTAAAACCAAATAGACATTGCTCAAACACTTGAAATACTCTCTCGCTGTGAAGCCAACATAATTTTTATCAGTGACAAACCATGGCGCATCACACTTTAGAAATGTCAATTTTTACGTTCGCAGATTATAGGCGTTGTCGTGGTTCCACGTTTAAAACCGTGCGGATTGGTTCGCGACCTTCAAGAGCTCATGTGAAACCTCTTGTCCGGCGTCTCGGAGAATAGAGACTAACTCCTTGGCGTTGCGATTTTGAGTGGGCGTCAGAAACGTGTATGCCCTTCCTTTTCCGTCGTCTCGAATGGCGTGTTAACGCGGAGCGCGTAATCATCTGAACTTCGTGGGTAGTCGTAGTTCACCACAAATCGGACGTCTTCGGCGTAAAGGTCACGCGCCACCAGGTCGGTGGCCACCAGAATGAGCATTCCGCCGAAACGAAAAGCGTTCAATGCCCACTCACGCTCCGTCTTACTTTTTTGGCCGTGGATGCCAACGACAGGCCAATCCCGGAGTCGCAAGCTCGTCACAAGGTTTTCCACTTTTAACTTGGTCTCGACGAACACGACTGCCTTGTCCTGCTTATTGTCGAGAATGTCTCCGAACAGTGCGACGAGCCTGTCCTCCTTACCGCTATCTTCGCAAACGTACACAATGTGTTCTGTACGCCGACTCTGAGATCTTTGACTCATCTCGCCACGTTGACGGTCACATAGTCCTCCATGAACTCTTCGGCCATTTGGGACGCCTCTGTCGTTTTTGATGTGAGCCACATCAAGGTCTGGCGTTCAGGTCGCAAGTTTTCTAAAATGAGGCGAAGCTGCTGCTCCAAGCCCAACGCCAACATGCAGTCCAACTCGTCCAACACGAGGAACGTGCAGCGCCGAATGGTCACCTTGCATTCCTCCATGAGAGCGACGAGGCGACCTGGAGTCACGATCCACACCTTGCAGCCTTCGTCGAGCTTCTTTAGCTGCTTTTCCTTCGGCTCACCTGAAACGAAACAAGCAGTTCCAACACCCGAATACTTTTCGAAGAGGGAGAAAGTCTCCTGGACTTGGCGTGCCAGCTCACGCGTTGAGGCCAAGACTAACACAATAGGTCCATCTCCGTATGGTGCGGCATCCTGACTCAGAACGTGAAGGAGCGCCGGGACCACGTAGGCCAGAAACTTGTTCTCCGAACTGGTTCGAACGACGGCAAGAAGGTCTCGGCCACTGAGAACCACTGGCCAGCACTGGGCTTGCACGCTGCTCGGCGATGAGTCAGGGCCCTGAGCTCGAAGGACCTTCGTAACACAGTCGGGGAAGTTCGTTTCGCTGAAGCTCAAGATTGGTTTGGGCACGGCACGTCCAGTGATGGTGATCTCGTTGTCTTTTCTGTAGACGTCTACTTCGCTTGCCGATCGCCGAGCCGTGACAATGTGTTCGCTGTACAGGTCCTTCTGGAAAGCTGGTAGTACAACCCTTTTCCATCCCGGTGGTCGTAGGTTCTCCCTACATTACTTTTGCTGGCGTAGCTGACGTCTCGTTTGTTGATCCACCGTTCGTAGCTGAACACGTAGCTGTCTCCATTGCCGGCGGCAGCGGATGCTGGTAAAATCCTCGCCGAATACTGTAGTGCAGATTCACACCCGGGAGCAGCGTGCTCAGATAGTTGGTGACACCATTCCACCCACCAAGGGTAAGAAAAGGGTTGGGAATGCCTTGCAGCAGGTGCTCTTGCATCTACCAAGTTTAATACGTACGTATGAAACTGAATTTGACCCATAAGCAGTGGGTTGTATATTCTCCTCATCGCTGCTGGTTGATCGCTCGCAGAAGCCTTCTTGACGTTGGTTGGTTGCTTATTCCTTAGCGATTATGGCACAACCTGCCACGAAGCATCGGCCAGTTTTGCCCTGTTATTTACCTATTAACTAAGGCACACACCCACTGTGAGGGCTTTGACCAAGAGTTCAGCGGTTTGGTATAATATATGAACCTTTAGAGTAAAGAAAGCTATATTATAGATATACTACAGTTACATAGCAAATTAGGGTGCTCGATATAGATATTGTAACAGACTAGAAAAAAGGTAGAGAAAGAGAAGCAGAGGAAGACGAAGAGTCCTTGGCACGATCGCAGTGTGCTGCCGCAAATGACCATCGTTCACCTCCTGTAAATAAACCATCTGATCACAGCTTGCTGTTACAGTTGTGGTGGACGTGCTGGGTAATCACACCCGAAGACGGAAGGTGAACCGCAAGTTCTTCGACGAGCCGTCGCATTGCTGGACTTCCACCGAATCCATCTGGTCTGGAATGTCCCACAACGCAATGAACACCGACCCCTCTCTACTTCTGCGCCGACCAGTTCGGCTCCACAACTGAGAGATGCTCGTTCCTTTGCCGGCAGACCAGATGAAGACGTCGAGGCTTGGCTCATCCATTACAAACGGGTGAGCGCCACTAACAAATGGGATGCCGCTTTTCAGCTTTTGTACGTCGCGTTCTTTCTGACGGATACTGCAATAATGTGGTACGAGAATCGGGAGGAAACGCTAACGACATTGGACAGATTTGTTTCTGAAATTAAAGAGCGTTTCGGCGACCCAACAACGATAAAGAAAAGAGCAGAACAGACGCTAATGCAACGCGCTCAAGTGCCAGGTGAAACTTGCACGACCTTCATTGAGAAAGTCGTACACAATGTGTTCTGTACGCCGACTCTGAGATCTTTGACTCATCTCGCCCACGTTGACGGTCACATAGTCCTCCATGAACTCTTCGGCCATTTGGGACGCCTCTGTCGTTTTTGATGTGAGCCACATCAAGGTCTGGCGTTCAGGTCGCAAGTTTTCTAAAATGAGGCGAAGCTGCTGCTTCCAAGCCCAACGCCAACATGCAGTCCAACTCGTCCAAACACGAGGAACGTGCAGCGCCGAATGGTCACCTTGCATTCCTCCATGAGAGCGACGAGGCGACCTGGAGTCGCGATCCACACCTTGCAGCCTTCGTCGAGCTTCTTTAGCTGCTTTTCCTTCGGCTCACCTGAAACGAAACAAGCAGTTCCAACACCCGAATACTTTTCGAAGAGGGAGAACGTCTCCTGGACTTGGCGTGCCAGCTCACGCGTTGAGGCCAAGACTAACACAATAGGGTCCATCTCCGTATGGTGCGGCATCCTGACTCAGAACGTGAAGGAAGCGCCGGGACCACGTAGGCCAGAAACTTGTTCGCCGAACTTGGTTCGAACGACGGCAAGAGGTCTCGGCACTGAGACCACTGGCCAGCACTGGGTTGCACGCTGCTCGGCGATGAGTCAGGGGCCCTGAGCTCGAAGGACCTTCGTAACACAGTCTGGGAAGTTCGTTTCGCTGAAGCTCAAGATTGGTTTGGGCACGGCACGTCCCAGTGATGGTGATCTCGTTGTCTTTTCTGTAGACGTCTACTTCGCTTGCCGATCGCCGAGCCGTGACAATGTGTTCGCTGTACATGTCCTTCTGGAAAGCTGGTAGTACAACCCTTTTCCATCCCGGTGGTCGTAGGTTTCTCCCTACATTACTTTGCTGGCGTAGCTGACGTCTCGTTTGTTGATCCACCGTTCGTAGCTGATACCGTAGCTGTCTCCATTGCCGGCGGCAGCGGATGCTGGTAAAATCCTCGCCGAATTACTGTAGTGCGATTCCACACCGGGAGCAGCGTGCTCAGATAGTTGGTGACACCATTCCACCCACCAAGGGTAAGAAAAGGGTTGGGAATGCCTTGCAGCAGGTGCTCTTGCATTACCAAGTTTAATACGTACGTATGAAACTGAATTTGACCCATAAGTAGTGGGTTGTATATTCTCCTCATCGCTGCTGGTTGATTGCTCGCAGAAGCCTCTTGACGTTGGTTGGTGCTTATTCCTTAGCGATATGGCACAACCTGCCACGAAGCATCGGCCAGTTTTGCCCTGTGTGTTTACCTATTAACTAAGGCACACACCCACTGGAGGGCTTGGCCAAGAGTGTCAGCGGTTTGTATAATATTGTTACGTGAGTAACGAGACAAGTATTGCGAATATATTCGAAAAATATATTGCAAGAGCGGTTGCAGCATAGCCAGTCTGGCTCCGAGCTCGAGCAGCCAGCGAGCCTCATCTTCTTCGTCGGGCGCACACGCGCATTCGCACTATGTTTGTGGCAGCCTACAGGTAGCATAACCCCCGTCGGCAAAGGCGCCGTCTCGGCGCATCTAGATGTCAAGATCATTGGGCGAGTGGTACTGCTTCAGGCGTGCGACGTGTACGATGTCGCTGGCCATAGGGGTGGATGAAGACGGCGAGGCAGCAGGAGTGATTTCATAAGTGACGGGAGTCACCTCACGAAGCACTCTGTATGGCCCTGTGTACCAGAGAGAGCAGCTTGTCAGACAGGCCAACGTGCCTGGTCGGAGACCACAGCCGAACCAACGAACCGGGCGAAAAGTGCACATCGCGGTTGTCGTGGTCGTACGACGCCGTTGGTTTGCTTGGGAGGTCAGAAGGCGAGCACGAGCGGTTTCGCGTGCGTGGCTGAGGCCCACGGTTGATGGCGTCCAGAGCATATTGTGAAGTTGGAGCTGCTGGTAACGGAATCGTCGTATCGAGGGTAATGTGGTGTTCGCGGCCGAACAGCAAGAAGAAAAAAGGGAGTAACCAGCCGTGTCGTGGCGCGAAGAATTGTTAGGCAAATGTCACGTATGGGTAAAGCGATGTCCCAGTCAGAGTGATCTGAGGGGAAACGTACTTTGCAAGCATGTCCAGTTAGGGTTCGGTTCAGGCGTGCGATTTTGAGTGGGCGTCAGAAACGTGTATGCCCTTCCTTTTCCGTCGTCTCGAATGGCGTGTTTAACGCGGAGCGCGTAATCATCTGAACTTCGTGGGTAGTCGTAGTTCACCACAAATCGGACGTCTTCGGCGTAAAGGTCACGCGCCACCAGGTCGGTGGCCACCAGAATGAGCATTCCGCCGAAACGAAAAGCGTTCAATGCCCACTCACGCTCCGTCTTACTTTTTTGGCCGTGGATGCCAACGACAGGCCAATCCCGGAGTCGCAAGCTCGTCACAAGGTTTTCCACTTTTAACTTGGTCTCGACGAACACGACTGCCTTGTCCTGCTTATTGTCGAGAATGTCTCCGAACAGTGCGACGAGCCTGTCCTCCTTACCGCTATCTTCGCAAACGTACACAATGTGTTCTGTACGCCGACTCTGAAATCTTTGACTCATCTCGCCCACGTTGACGGTCACATAGTCCTCCATGAACTCTTCGGCCATTTGGGACGCCTCTGTCGTTTTTGATGTGAGCCACATCAAGGTCTGGCGTTCAGGTCGCAAGTTTTCTAAAATGAGGCGAAGCTGCTGCTCCAAGCCCAACGCCAACATGCAGTCCAACTCGTCCAACACGAGGAACGTGCAGCGCCGAATGGTCACCTTGCATTCCTCCATGAGAGCGACGAGGCGACCTGGAGTCACGATCCACACCTTGCAGCCTTCGTCGAGCTTCTTTAGCTGCTTTTCCTTCGGCTCACCTGAAACGAAACAAGCAGTTCCAACACCCGAATACTTTTCGAAGAGGGAGAAAGTCTCCTGGACTTGGCGTGCCAGCTCACGCGTTGAGGCCAAGACTAACACAATAGGTCCATCTCCGTATGGTGCGGCATCCTGACTCAGAACGTGAAGGAGCGCCGGGACCACGTAGGCCAGAAACTTGTTCTCCGAACTGGTTCGAACGACGGCAAGAAGGTCTCGGCCACTGAGAACCACTGGCCAGCACTGGGCTTGCACGCTGCTCGGCGATGAGTCAGGGCCCTGAGCTCGAAGGACCTTCGTAACACAGTCGGGGAAGTTCGTTTCGCTGAAGCTCAAGATTGGTTTGGGCACGGCACGTCCAGTGATGGTGATCTCGTTGTCTTTTCTGTAGACGTCTACTTCGCTTGCCGATCGCCGAGCCGTGACAATGTGTTCGCTGTACAGGTCCTTCTGGAAAGCTGGTAGTACAACCCTTTTCCATCCCGGTGGTCGTAGGTTTCTCCCTACGTTACTTTTGCTGGCGTAGCTGACGTCTCGTTTGTTGATCCACCGTTCGTAGCTGAACACGTAGCTGTCTCCAATTGCCGGCGGCAGCGGATGCTGGTAAAATCCTCGCCGAATACTGTAGTGCAGATTCGCACCCGGGAGCAGCGTGCTCAGATAGTTGGTGACACCATTCCACCCACCAAGGGTAAGAAAAGGGTTGGGAATGCCTTGCAGCAGGTGCTCTTGCATCACCAAGTTTAATACGTACGTATGAAACTGAATTTGACCCATAAGCAGTGGGTTGTATATTCTCCTCATCGCTGCTGGTTGATCGCTCGCAGAAGCCTTCTTGACGTTGGTTGGTTGCTTATTCCTTAGCGATATGGCACAACCTGCCACGAAGCATCGGCCAGTTTTGCCCTGTTATTTACCTATTAACTAAGGCACACACCCACTGTGAGGGCTTTGACCAAGAGTTCAGCGGTTTTGTATAATATTATGAACCTTTAGAGTAAAGAAAGCTATATTATAGATATACTACAGGTTACATAGCAAATTAGGGTGCTCGATATAATATTGTAACAGACTAGAAAAAGGTAGAGAAGAGAAGCAGAGGAAGACGAAGAGTCTTGGCACGATCGCAGTGTGCTGCCGCAAATGACCATCGTTCACCTCCTGTAAATAAAACCATCTTATCACAGCTTGCTGTTACAGTTGTGGTGGACGTGCTGGGTAATCACACCCGAAGACGGAAGGTGAACCGCAAGTTCTTCGACGGAGCCGTCGCATTGCTGGACTTCCACCGAATCCATCTGGTCTGGACATGTCCCACAACGCAAATGAACACCGACCCCTCTCTACTTCTGCGCCGACCAGTTCGGCTCCACAACTGAGAGATGCTCGTTCCTTTGCCGGCAGACCAGATGAAGACGTCGAGGCTTGGCTCATCCATTACAAACGGGTGAGCGCCACTAACAAATGGGATGCCGCTTTTCAGCTTTTGTACGTCGCGTTCTTTCTGACGGATACTGCAATAATGTGGTACGAGAATCGGGAGAAAACGCTAACGACATGGGACAGATTTGTTTCTGAAATTAAAGAGCGTTTCGGCGACCCAACAACGATAAAGAAAAGAGCAGAACAGACGCTAATGCAACGCGCTCAAGTGCCAGGTGAAACTTGCACGACCTTCATTGAGAAAGTCGTAAAGCTATGTAGGACCATTGACTCCGGAATGTCTGAGGAAGAAAAATTCGGGCACATTCTGAAAGGAATCGCCGAGGATGTTTACAGTTTCCTCATCGCGAAAGACACCTTGACATCTGTCACCGATCTCATTCGTCATTGCCGCAATTTCGAGCAACTAAAGACGAGGCGCATCACGCCAAAGTTCGGCAGGCTACCCAATGTGACGACCATCGCGAGCATAGAGAGCAACCAGGCGCTTGATCTCGCAACAACAATCCGGCAGATAGTACGTGAAGAATCCCCCCTATCAGCCACCAGAGTTCGAGCGAAACGTTGCTTCATTCTCCTCGCACCGAGTGGCGGAGGGCTTTGAGGATTCTGATGCGACACCTCAGTATCAGCCACGTCTATACGATAGAGGCCCTGCCTGTGACGCTCGATCGCGACGGGCAGAGCCACATTCTTATACTCAGGGCTCTCAGCCGGACTACGTCCCCCTCCGGCAAGGACAGTACCAACCCTACTACCAAGATGTAACTTACGACGAATACAATGAATTCCAGAAAGT